TGCGTCGCGTCTCTCCAACAGTTCGACCCTTTCAACGGCTTCGTTTAATTCTTCAGGGTGTTGAAAGTAGAACTCTTTTTGGGCGCTGGTGGATGATGTGCCCTTGACGAGTTGTTCTAAGATCCGCCGATCGCGTTCGGAGCTGGACAGGTTTGGAAATGCGCGGTCTGCTAAATGTCGCAGAGTTCGAACGTAGGCACGGACGTTTTCGTCAGCCAGTTGCCGGCGGGAGTGAAACTCCCGACGGTACTCGATTGCTAGTTTAGGGGTGTCTAAGAGTTGTCGGATTCTCTTAAAGATGTCGTCTGTTACCTCGTCATCTAGAATTCGGGATTCGGAGACAATATCGAATGCTTCGCCAGTGAGCAGGCTATACACCAGGTCGGCGTGTTTCTCGTGTGGAAAATGTCGAAGGTAGATTTGTGTTTGCTTCTCCCATCGGTTATATTTATTACCGATTGCGAACTTTTCCGGGATTGGGATCGGGGGACACGGTTTTGAAAATTGGCTGTTCGTGGGTAGACGGTCCAGAATGCTGATTAGTGCAGGTATTACATCCGATGGCAGATCAGCTTCGCTTTTCGGTGACCGTTCAGAGTCGCCAGAAGGTTTTCCTTGGATTTTTATCCTGGCAGGGTCGCCACTTTGTAGTATACACCAAACAGGGATAAGACTCGGAGAGCTTGAACGAAGTTATATTAATACCAACGTAGCAACACTATAGGGATATGGAGTGATTATAATGCAAAATGGTAAGGTTACGTGTGGGTGTTGTTTTGGTCCTTGTTCTCAGCGTCTTCTATCACGGTGTTAGCCGCCACGCAGTTTGTACAGCCTGTACAGGGAAATGAGAGTGCTTGTTAGTGTCACTTCGGTATCCAATTACCGAATGTCAATCAGTTTCGGTTTCACCCCACAATTGCATTTCCCCTCATAGGCTTTCACCAATATCTGTCTACCATACGGACGGAACTCCATCCCTTATGAAGTGCTCATTTCCTATCATATCCCTGAACAGAGACAAGCTGTATTGATCAAAAGTGACCTGCCTGTAGAGCAACAAACCCTAGGAGGACTAATGATATGCGCTTCTTGATTGTGAGACCTGTTGGAGTTCTATTCTATTTTCGCGTTAGCAACTATCATTGATGGAAGCTTATCTGAAGCATTTCTGTCATAATGCTCTGAAAAAAAACAGTGTAGATTCCAAATTCCAATTTGGCGAATGTTGATTATCCCAGATCAAGCCCATTTAAACTATTTTGGTACTTTACGTTTTACTTCTGTCGGACCACTTGGTGACGAACTATAAAAGTAATAAACCCCATTGTTACGACGACCAGCTGTTCGTTTATAATACGCTAGGAGTGGCGTATCGTGTATGACATCGCGAGGCACTCTACCGGACCAGACTACACAAAAAGTGATATCTATTTATTCGCACGGATACTATCAAAGGATGTTAATCTAATATTGACATGCGTTCCAGGTGTGGACTGTTTAAATCATGCGTCTGGTTTTGACTCCCAGTCTGAAGTTTAGAGTCCTAGAACACGAATAAAACAGTACACAATTGAAGAGTCCCGATGGGGTCGCTCCTCCGCAAAAGAATGTCGCGGAAGTATGTAAATCTATTGCGGTCGCTGTACCTGCATACTTCTGGTAGCGTAACGGTCCATGGTAAATCGTTCGAAACCAGGGCCGGTGTTCGTCAATCGTACCCTATTTCGCCATTCCTGTTCAATTTCGTCGTAGACGAAGTACTGAAGAACGCACTTAGTGGTCTCCAAAACGTAGGTGTTGAATGGGCAGCTGGAGAAAAGCTGTGCGATTTAGAGTACGCNAGAGTACGCTGATGAGATCGTATGCCTGTTCGAATCCATGGAGGATGCTCAAAGCGCTCTTGACAGACTTTTAAGTTTTGTCTCTCCGTTCGGCATGTGCTTTGCACCTTCAAAGTGCAGAGTGATGCTACAAGACTGGGTGTCGTCTACCCCAGCGCTAATGCTTGATGGTCAAGAATTAGCTGTAGTGGAATGGTTCATCTACTTAGGTGGCTGTTTGACGGTAGCATAGACGATGAGGTAACCACCCGCATTCCCAGGGCTCGAGCAGCTCACGCAGGATTGAAACACCGTTATTGCAGACGCGATGTTTCGTTGAAACTGAAAGGTCGTGTATACTGCACCAGTGTGCGGTCATTTCTGCTCTTTGGTTGCGAGACCCTAAATTTGCGCGTGGAAGATATTCGTCGTCTGGAAGTCTTCGGCTATCGATGTCTACGTAGCTTGGCGCGGGTTGGATGGAGCGAACTTGTCAGCAACTCTGAGGTAAGTCGTCGCGTAATTGGTAATGATTCGATGGAGAATTCGTTGTCCCATCGAATTCAGGTTAATCGGCTTCGCTGGTTAGGACACATATTTCGCATGCCCAGCCATCGTCTGCCACACTGTGCCCCATTCACAGTTACGGCTCCCGGTTGGGAGAAACCGCTTAGAGGTCGACAGATGACGTGGAAGCGAGGTATGAAGAAATGCACAGAGCGATTAGGTAAAATCGGTATCTCCCGTCTTCCAGTTTGGGGTCCAAAAGAATGCAACTGGCTGGTTGGAGACACTGAAGGATATGGCAACTAACCGACAGCAATGGAGTTCTTGTTGTCATTTCTTATCAGGTCAGAATGCCTGAAAAGGTATGTACGCACACTTGGATTGTGTACTCTGTTTTGACCATGAAGGTTCTTTTTCTTTGCCTCCCTCCAGTTAGGCTTCATCCCTCTCCACCTTGTGCTTTATGACTTGATTTGTGTCCATTGTGAGCTTGGCAGCGCTCAGTGAAGTTCACTTAACTGTATCTCGCTGTACGAGGATGATGATGAATCCCGACGGGTGCAAAACAGCTATCTTCATTGGTTTTTGTTAGCTTGACACACACGAACTTGCATTTCGAAACACTGATATCTCAGAGAATGAGAAAATGCTGGCTAAATGAACAATGAGTGCAAGATCAACACTTTTTTGGTAACCGACAAGGTTCTTGTTCATTTGAAAATAGAACTAATTTACCTTTTCGTATGTAACACTACGATTATCCATAGTAGGACTACGGAAGATATAAATTGCCATCTTTATTTATCGGATCAATGGTTTCCGTTTAGTATTCAGAAATAAAGCTTCTTTTGGATGAGGAGTTTACAAACATACAGATCGACTCGGGGTCTTTGAATAAGCATGATATGAATGAAGTATTCCATAACTGCACCGAGGGAACAGTCGCATTGACATTTCACTCAGTGTCCACGTCGCAGAAGCAGACTACTCTCATGGTAGGTCAGCACTGTTTCCATGATTTCCTAACCGTCCTAATTGTGTGCTAATCAGGTATTCCTTCTACATCCACACCTATAAACGGACAGGTAACTTATTTGCCACTGTTAAAGCAATTTTTAGTACCGGGCGAACAGCGGCAAACGATGTGTTGCTTGGTACAAATTCCAATACAGCTCCACGTCCGGAATGTTTTGCAGTTATAATAAATCCTTCTGGCTCAATCCACACGTAGTTTGATTTCATTCTTGACTGTTCCGCTGGCATTCGGAACCAAGCCCTTTTGAAGTTTTGCACTAACTGCACTGTTTCTCGGTTAATATGAACAAGATGCATCGTCATCATCGCACAGCAAAATACAGTGAGGCGAGCTTCACTGATTGCTGCAGAACTCGCAATGCATATGCATTGGGTTTGATGGAGGGGTACTGCTACGGTGTCCAGCCACTAAGCAGGAGAACGATTAGGGTTCTCTTCCAAAGCCTTTAGTTCTGACAAGAGCCTAACCGGAAGGCAGCGGGTGGAGCGGAGTGGAAACCCATTCACTTGGACCAATTACTCCTCCACTGTTTTTTTTTACTGACTGAAACGCAAATTCCAGTTGAACCCCTAACCTGGAGGACCGAGAGACTGGACTTCATTCGACCTCTACTCTTTGGCCTTCCGGGCATGATTAAATCTTCGGCTTGACAAAAGTCATCCTGTGAAGCTCGTTGGGTCGGAGAGATCCACAAGCCAATACAGCACGTCAAGGTGCAGTCTCGTCGTAATGGCTAAAGTAAGCCACGGAGATCTTCGTTTTAGTAGAATTGATCTCCATCGTGCCCACGTCAGGTGGCTTTCCGTTTGTCAGGGCTTTTGGGCGGTGGTGATTTATATTTTATCAGGTAGATTACAGTCAGTTTCATATATCCCTCTGTGGTACCAGGTGGTGGAGGCATGTTGGACTTTGTTTACCGGTGATTCAAAGCTGAATCAAAAAACTGTTAGAATTACTTATGAAGCTTCAATAGTTTTATCTTTCCCGACACCGTTTGAAGACGATTCAAGAATCTTCCGAAGTCACCAGTACCTACACCCGTCTTACCGATTACCGTCCAATGATCCCTGCTACTCGCCTTGACGATATGAGTAACGTCGTAACACAGTATACGAACATTAGGAAAACCCACTAGGAGGACTACGTCCGCTTTTGCAAGTAATTACATTCTGCGATTTGAGATTCTATTCTTGTCCCCGGAGTTATACTGATGATAGTGCCTAGGCTAGCCACGCTACGTCTGCGACAACGCTTCTAACTGGGAAAACCCCAAAACCAATATTATGTTATCCTCATTCTCATAATGCATGAGTTCAATAGTCGCAATTTCGGAGTAGAGGCAATTTACGCCCGGTGCTATTCATCTGAGAATTGCATTGTTAAACATCTACTATTCGTGTCGGGTAGCTTTCTGACATTTCAAGCGAGTGTTCGGCGTTTTTAATGTTTAAGCGTTTAAGGTTCCCAGCTATTTTCACCACCCCGGTTACTAGGAGAGCATATAATGCGTCACTTCCTATGGAAACGAGGTTATCATACAACATCCGCTTCAGATAGTTATAACGCATCCTCAGTACTCCGAGCACAACTGCCTGTTCATCATTTCTTGAATTTCACATCACTATGTGATGAACAAAAGGAGGTTCAAACCCAATAATTAGGAGGAACTCGTGTTCACCCGTGGTAACCGGCAACCTAATCCCCAGCACCTGCAATGGTGAATCACATAGGGTCCCATTAGAGACGATAGAGAGTTTACATACCACCAAATTTGGGAGGCGGTGACGAGGTTTGAACTGAACACCTTCAGAGAATACCCGTATAATATATATATATATATTTCAAGTTAGTAATGGAGGATTTGGTTCAACTTCAAAGGTGGATTCGTCGTGTATATAGCCACTGAATCTTAAACTGAAAAGCTAAGGAGCACTGGACAGCTGT